GCATAATATTAGGTGAACGTGAAGCAATAATCAAAGGAACTCCAAGAAAATATGCAGAAATATATACAGGTAATAATGAGAAATAATTATTAATGCTATGATCTTTTCAGTAGACAGTCCTGAAAAATGTTTTTTAAATAGCAATGCTGCTTAATAATTTATATATATACCAATACTAAAACTAATCAAATTTTATTTTTAAAAAGCATGTTGGCAAGGAAACCCAGATCTCCGTCCATATATTCATCAAGTTATGCAAGACTTGCACAAAGTAGATATAACTGACACTATTGAAGATATTGCTATTTCAACAGATCAAACTATTAATGAGCTACAAAATGACGATTCATTACATTCAAATGAACTTCCATTATCAGCGCGAATTAATAGTTTAAACAACCATTTAAATGATTAAAAAAGCAAAGTAAAGTACGCAGTGTATAAAGTGTATATAATGTTTGGGATAAAGATAGATGTATTATTAGACACACACACACACGTACACACAGAAAGATATGTATCATTATAGATGTGTATCATTATAGATGTGTGTATCATTATAGATGTGTGTATCATTATAGATGTATGTATCATTGAATGATGCGTTAGTACCAACGAACAATTCTTCAATTTTTTTAACGATTCTAGTTAGCAATAGTAATCAAAATTTAGCATAGTTGGAAACTTATGCTTTATGCTCTTAGGTTAAACTTTAAATTTGTAGCCGTTTTACTCAGATGACGTTAAAGCTGAGTGTTTTGTAGATGTATTGTTTTAGACGTATTATTATAGATTTATCATATAGATTATTTTTATAATCCGTCGATTCGTAATAACATAATACTTTCGAGCATTTATAATAATGCGAGTATTTTGTAATATTTTCGAGAATAATAAATAATTGGCAATTGGCAGTCAAAAGATTTGAAAACAATGATGTGGTGTAATATAGTTTGACCATTATTGAGTTGTTATCGGACACGGACCAGCGAATCTTTCTTAATAAAGCAATTTTGAATTTTAAATAATATAAATTTATATTTTGCGCAACTATAAATATTGTGTTCGATAAAACGAAGTACCGCCCAATCATATGTTAGACATGTGACCTAGCCTCTTTCGTTCATATTTTTTTATTATTTATTTCTTATCAATAATTTATTTAAGTTAGTGGAACTAAAATAATTAAATTTGTTGTTATTTGTACTATAAAGTGCGCTGAAGCTCTTTAGGTACAAGTAGGCAGGATCAGCCAAATCACCTATTTCGTTCAACTTAATATTGAAATAGATAGTTGAGAATGAAATGCTCGTAATGTATCCCTTTAATCTAATAATGTAATTACAAAAAAAAAACAGTAAAATTTAACCCTATAGTCAAAAGCTAAACATCAGATTCAGTTAGAAAATGATTTAAAATAACTTTAAAAAGCAAAAGCTTTGTTTAAATTTTATTTGAAACAAGTTGGGAAATTCTTCAGAAATTAAAATATGATTAGATTAAGATTTGATTAGATTAGATTAAGATTTGATTAAGATTAAAAAATAATATTTAATTATTTAATTTGTACACCTGGAAATTTTGGATATTTGTAATTAATTATTTTGGATATTCATAATAATTATTTCAGATATTCATAATTATTTCAGATACTTGTGTTTATTTATTTTGAATATTAACAATTACAAATATTCAAATAGGAGTAGGATTACAGTTAGGAACCCTAATTCTGCAAAAAAACATGTTTGATTTGTAAATGCTCAATAACCGAGCAATAACCTTTCTGTGGTTTTGTTTGCAGACACTCAATTAATAGCCTGTCAGAGAGATTTTTTCATTTATATTATATAGTAAAAAAAAATTATAAAGGTTCAAAGTTATCAATTTTATTGATTTTACTATAAACAATGAAAATTTTGAAATGTAAAGGCTCAATAATCAAGCGAGCTGCAGGAATAATCTTTCCACAATTATATTTACAAACATTCAATTAATAAGCTATCAGAGAGTTTTTTCATTTATATTAGTAAAAAAATTTATTGTAAAGGTTCAAAGTTATCAATTTTATTGATTATTACTATTTGGACTTTTTAAATGCGACTAACCCCAGTAGTATACATAATCTGCTTTTTCTGAAGATGGATTGCTTGATAATAACTGTTCATTGTTATGATGCAAATATTCGAAAAACAACAGCTCAGTAACACATCAATAGAATGTCATCTACTGGATTTTTGTAGAAGAAATCCCAATGGCTCAAATTAATAGAGTCTATTCTTCTCCTACATGGTCATATTTATCATAAATTTGATTGCAACTTTGTGAACGCAAGTGTTTTTAATATATAAAAGGTGAAATAAAAAAATGTTAAAATCTATAATTAATAGTATCATAGGTGAAAATATTCTGGCAAAAGGTGACTTAAAAGAGAAAGAAAATGACAAACCTGAAAAATTGTCAAAACAAGGATCATTTGATATTCAAGCAGAGATTTGACTCAAAAAAGCACTTGAAACATTTTTGCATAAATCTACTTTGTCATCTTTGTTATATTAAATATGGAAAAAATTTTTTGTTATATAGTATTGTAAATTGGGGTTCGACTTGGGATTTCAAGGCCGTCATAAATAAATCCATGACGCGTTTTTACATTTAGCATTAGTAATACATTCTATCCATTATATTTTATTTTATTGAATAAGTCATGTAAAAAGGCATGTTATTGGTAATACTTCAAGAAGTATAAATACATTTAAATTTTCTTCGGTGTAAAGAGTTAATCTTTTAAACTTTTAATGATATAATACCTAACACATTGATAATGAAAATAACACTTTTACATAAAAATAGTCTTTGACTAAGAAAGCCGGTGTGATTGATTCATAATCTTTTCTGATGATTAATGGTTTGGCCAATCTTTAATTATTAGTTAGGGTCCTCTTTTAATTTTACTAAATTGCTTGTAAGGAGCCTCGACCAGTATAGTTGTATATAGTTGGTCACCAAAACTATTTTGAAGAGGCGAAAGCCAAAACTAAAATTAAAAATGATATGTCAAACAAAAACAACAGTCAAAAGTCAAAACTAGTTTCGACTTATGGTGAAACCTTTTGACTTTTGCACAGTTGTGAAACACTCTAGCTTTGGAAACCAGCACCAATAGTGATTTTATTTAGTGATATGTGACTAAGGAATCTTTAAACGGCTATCCAGCCAAATTAATTAGATGATAAAAAAATTTTAGCATTCATTTTACGTCTGCAGAATTCAGTGGCATAGACACTTGGTTGAGATGAGTCCATATTCATTACTTAAAATGATAAAAGAAAAAAAATCAAAAAAAAATAAATAAATACAATACTCGTAGCAGGATAAAATATAATAATAATAAAGAATGCAGTAGTAATTAATAGTTAGAATTTCTATTCGTAATACAAATTCTTCTTATCGAATTATTTATAATATATACAACTTAATTTTAATTCGAACAAATAAAAAAAATGCGAGATAAAAGTAATATCTTGGTTGTGTACAAGATTTGGTGACTTCGTAACAAATAATTCGGTTACACGCTCGCACTTTGGCGACAAGACAGATTATGAGATTATATATAGCACTAGTACTAGTACTATGATGTATCTGTGAATACATAATAGTCACGAACCTATATATGCTAATGGAACTATATATATTATTGGAATTAAACATTTTGGCTGAGAGGGCTAAAGTTAAGAAATATACTATTTAAAGTGGAAGAAAAGGGATACGTAATAGGAGATACCACCTGTAAGGATAAGGACGAAAGTAAAATTGACACCATCACCTCTGAGAGATACTATATGTTATTATCATATATTATATAATTAACTACACACAGCTGAAGAAGTCTAGACATAAGTTTCAAAGATAAAAGCAAACGACGTAAAACTGTACCCTTCAAACAACTAATAATAGTAGTAGTAGTAAAGTATAAATGACAAGAGTCCAAGAAAGGCTATGGCGTAATACTATACTATCGGGTCAAAGAAATTATCCTACGAAATTTTTTAAAATACATTCGAAAAATTTTTAATTAAGAAATGAAAATAAAGAAAGAAATCAATAATGAAAGATAATAAAATTCTTGATGAAAGAACGAAATGCAAAAACACGAAATGCAAAAACGCGAGAAGGAAAAAAAGTCAAAACAGTGATCGATATAGGTTCAAAGTTTTGCATCATTTCAAAGCAAAACCTAGAAAAATTGAAATAAATGATAATTAATTAGAAAGCGTAAAATATTAATAAATGATAACTATAATTCAAGTTCTAGTAGAACAACAATGAAAATTTCTTTACCTAATTCGTGAAACGTATTGTTTATTAAATTAAAGTTTTGAGCACGTGAATGTCAAACAATAGAAGCAAGAAATTAAAATAATAATATGTTAAATATATATGCGTGACATAAACAAGTCCAAGTGAAACAAACATTTTCACAATTTAATATAACACTTTTTCGCTAAAACACTTCCATTGTCGGAAATTAATTAATTTTATTTTATTGGTTATTTCAAATAAAAATAAATTAGGCCGACAGATCACTGCATTTTTCTTTCCCTGTGGCAAGAATAACATTTAATAATTGTAACCACACACTTCCAACAAGAAAATTTAATGAATTGTCACGAAGACATCCACGAGACCCCAAATCCAATATTATTTGATATCCAATTTGATAATATTATTTTATTATCATTTATATTTTATTTTTATTACCATTTCTGCTAATATTATTATTGTTGTTATTTCTGTTATTATTATAATTGTGACCATTATTATTGTTTCTTTTTATATGCTTGTTTATAGCAAAACGTATTTCTGTATTATAACTTCCTAACAAAGTGTTTTCCGTATTTTTTCTTTGATTAAAACATTCATATACCCTTATTTTCTTAAAAAATAAAGTTTTGAGCACATGAATATATAAGGAGCAGGCAAGAAATTAAAATAATATTAATCGCTTATTTATATGCAAATAAACCAATAAAGAATCATATTATCAATATTATTGCGAACTAAAAATTATGAGAAATATATATTTTTTTTAAGAAACTAAAGCGGTTAGGGAAAGTTGAGTGTGAACGCCTGTTGTTACATTAACAAAAAATCAAAAAAAAAAAAAATTGAAATTATTCTAACACTAATATTATAAAAATTTTTCAACTTTAGATTATTACCTACCTTTAATAAATCATTGATATTTTTGGGTATAATTCTATAAACATATATGCTTTTATTTATTATACTAGAATAATTCAACCATTTTTATTGATAACCAAAAATAAACAATATATTTTTATTTACTATAATAGAATAATTCCATTTTTTTGTCATTGATGCTTATTGATTAAATACCATAAATACAAGATGTCCTTTTTTAAAACTCGATATTTCAGTTTTATCAAATCAATAAAAAATCTAAATTAAAAAAGAACAATTTTTTATTGCTAATGATTCATTTAAAAATGTTTGTCAATGAAAACATTATAGAAAAACTGTTAATGAAAATTGGTTTCATGATTATACATAGTTAGAAGATGAAAAAATGAAGATACAATCCTTTTTTTTTGTAAACTTTGTAAAAGTAGAAATGAAAGTACAAAATTTACACTAAGCACATCAGATTTAAGTTTAGAAGGAATTAAAAGGCATTTGAACACACAACTTAAAATGAAATAAATAAAAAAAAAATTAGCAATCATTTGTATTTATCAATGAATGACATTACAGTTGAAAATAATAATGAATTAATAATTACTGAAAAAACTTCTACTTTGAAAACTGCTGCTTTAGAAAAAACATCTACCCCTAGATCAACATATGAATTCTAAATTTGTTTCTGATTTTTTGGATAGTATAGCTTCTGTAATAATAAAAATCACCCTTTGAAGAATTGAATTTCTCAATTTATTGGAATATAATGACTGATGAAGCCAACAGTATTGATAATAATAAATATTTAGCAATTGTGGGAAAACATAATATTTCTTATATGAGATATTTGGGCATAATTAATCTAGAACCTACCACTGCAAAAAATATTTATAATCAAATCTTATCATTTTGTAATTTAAATGCAATATTATATCACAAAAGAATTCATTTTGGAAGTGATGGGGCTCCCAATATGACAGAAAATAAAAGTGGTGTTGCTACAAGATTAAAAAAAATCAATCCTTTATGTCCCCAATTTATTGTATTCACATCAAAGTACTATTGAGTTAGTGAACAGTCTTTAGTCAGCCCCAAAAGACCAGCCCTTTGGTCTTCCAAAAAAGACTAGATCAACACAATCTTAGTTTAATGAAGTTCTGAAGTTATAAATTTAATCAATTTTTTCCTTGTTCTTTTTTGGCAGTGATTTTTCTTTTGAATGATATCTTGATGCCAGCTTGATTGTTATACAGTCAAGCCTTGTTACAACGAATTTTGAGAAAAAACTTTTGTTCCACCGAATTTATTAATAAGATCGTATTACAATGACAATGAATTTTTGATAAAATTTTTGAATATAATTACTAATCGCGTTACAACGAAGTCAAGTGATAAATGAACAACAAAGTACGTTAAAAATCGTACAATTAAAAAAATCATACTAATACAATCTATCGTTGTGATAAAACATTGTTCATTACTCGTTTCACTCATTTATTTGTTTCATTCATTCCATTTGCTTTGCTCAATTTACTTTATTTAGTTATTCAAATTACTTGGTCATATATTTTTTCATTTAATTTGCGCTCGTACATTAGGGTCGCGTGGCGTAGCACTAGACGTAATTTCTGCGGAAATCGTTCGTATATGGTGCATGCACGTTCACCGTTACCAAATATAGCATCACTGTGTCTCAATAAAACGTTTTGGATTTTACATTTACTAATTCCATATAATACTTTCTCTTCATACTAAAGAAAAAGGTATGTCATATGCAATACAAAGTGTTTGTGCTATTATTTAATATTGATTTCTCATGGACTAATTACCTTTTTACATGATGTCTGTTTTTGCTTTTCTTGTCTCCTTTCCTTTTTTTTTCAGCAATTAATTAAATTTTTCTAAGCTGAAGATGTCATATAAGCCTGTTGCTCTTGGAGATATTAACGTTGGAAAGGTAACAAATTTGGCTTTTTTTTAAAAAACATTGTTTTTACTTGTATGAAATAATAAATTTGTTTATCTTTTTATTTAATTAGACTGCTTTCACGATTCAGGTATACATTAAGCTATGGTATATTTTTGGTGAATTTTTAAATGATATGCTATTTTTTATTGACTTTTAAAACTTGGTTAAATTATTTTGTTGGTATGTATTTTTCAAATTGTATAAATTTTTCTTTTTATCACGAATTAAAACTAAAATAATTATTATCTTTATTTGATTTTGAATACAGTGACCCTACCTATTCAATATTTTCATTTTATTTTTAGACCTATGACCCAAAAATCGCAGTTTCATATAAAAAACAAGCAATAATTGATGATCAACCCTGTGTACTAGATGTGCTAGAGACTGCAGCACAAGGTGATACTTTGCTGCTTGCTTATAATAAAATTGAAAACAATAGAATATTTATTTATAATTATAATTAACTTTTTTTTTAAATAAAAGGGGAATACACACCACTTTGGGATCAATTGATCAGGTAGAAAGAAATTTAAAGTTTCTAATGACAATTGTTAGAATTAAAAACTTATACATATAAATATATAGAGATGGAGAAGGATTTCTTCTAGTATATTCTATATCATCACATTCAACATTTGAACAAGTAGAAAAGTTTAAAGATCAAATAATAAGAGTAAAAGGCTCTAATAAAATTCCACTTATACTTATAGGAAATAAATGTGACAAGCACACAGAACAGGAGGTGTCAAGGGAAGAAGGAATAAATATGGCAAAGAGACTTGGCTGTGAATTTGTTGAAAGTTCAACAAAGACATTTGTAAACATAGAAAGACCATTTTACACAGTTGTTCAAATGACAGAGAAAAGTAGACAAAAAAAAACAAAAATAACAATAAACTTCAAATTACTATTAAAATCATTAAAATTGCAATTAAAATCATTAAAATTACTATTAAATATGAATGTAGAATCTATTCCAGAGGAGGAAAAATGGTTTAAAAATCAACTTAAAAGGGAACATATTTTATTTCTTGATTATAATTCTTTTCAAAATATTAAAATTATTGATGGTGGATCATTTGGAACAATTTCTTGTGCATCTTCAAAACATCATCAAGGACTTGTGGCATTAAAATCCATTAATATTGACAAAAAATATACTTTTGAACAACTTCTTAATGAGGTAAAAAATTTTTTTTCATTTAATAATTTATTATATATATATATTAACAAATGATTTTTTTAAAGGCAAAACAACATCTTAAAGTAGTACTTCACAGTAATATATTAGGATTTTATGGCATAACAAAAGAAAGTATGCTGACTTTTTATTATCATTGATTTACAATATATTTATTATACTTTGTTAATTTAAACTTTTTACATATCATTAAAGAAAAAAATAAAATAAATTACATGTTTGTATTAGAGTATGCAAATAATGGTAATTTATGTGATTATTTAAAATACAATTTCAATATAATGGATTGGAATATTAAATTAAAATTTGCAAAACAAATTGTAAGTGCTGTAAGACATTTGCATGAAAATAAAATAATACATAGAGATCTGGTATGTATAATCAATCATTACTTATTTATATTTAATTATTCTTTCATTTTTAATAATAATAACTAATAATTATATTTTAAATAGCATTCTAAAAATATTCTCATTCATAATGGAAATATTAAAATTTGTGATTTTGGAATCTCCAAATCCCTATTGGATCCTTCAATAGAGGCTTCTAAAAGATTAGGTACAATAAGATACTCAGATCCAGAATATTTAAACAATACTGAAAATTATAGTCGCAATGAAAAATCAGATATTTATAGCATTGGAGTGCTTTTATGGGAAATTTCAAGTGGTTGTGCTCCATTTGCAAATAAATCAATCAAATTCAAAGATATAATACTTGGCATAATATTAGGTGAACGTGAAGCAATAATCAAAGGAACTCCAAGAAAATATGCAGAAATATATACAGGTAATAATTACTAGTGGTTATATAACCATTGGCCATGTATGATATTTTCAATTGACAGCCCCAAAAAATGTTTTTTTTAAATAGCAGCGTTATTTAATAATTTATACCAATATTAAAATTAATTAAAATTTTATTTTTATAAAGCATGTTGGCAAGGAAACCCAGATCTCCGTCCTCATATTCATAAAGTTACACGGGATTTAGACAATGTAGATATAACCGATATTGTTAATTTAACAGGTCAAACTATTAATGAATTACAAGGTGATAGTTCATTAAATTCAACAGAACTTTCGTTCTCAGCACAAATTAATAGTTTAGAAAACCGTTTAAAGGATTTGGGCAAGGTAGATATAACTGACATTATTGAGGGTGAAAATGATGATTTATTATATTCAACGGAACTTCCATTATCAACACGGACTAATAGTTTAAACAATCATTTGATGGTAAGGAAAGTACGCGGTGTATGAATTGTATAATATTTGGGATAAACAACACATATATTGTTATAGATGTATTATTTATTATAGATGTATCATTATAGATGTATTATTTATTATTATAGATTTTATTATTTTTATAATTCTGTCGATTCGTAATAATACAAGTATTCGTAATAGTAATATTTTTGAGCATTTGTAATTAATAATGCAAGTATTCGTAATACTTTCGAACATTCATAATAATAACAATTGACATAAGGATATTTATATTTTAATTATTAAACTTTGAAAATGTTTAATTACATTTAAAATGTCAAACTTCATGATTCGTTTTAAAAACTGACCATTCAACATGATCAAGTTGTAACATATTATGATATAGTTACATCACTAAACAACCTTTCTGCAAATGCAGAGATAGGAGAAATTTTATTATGGGGAATTTTTTTATTTTTATCCCACAATACTAAAGGCCCAACATCTTTTTTAACTTTTAATGCCAAATATGTTGAGGTTTCATGCTGTTCATCATCAATATTGGCATTTCCTCTGTTTCAACTATACATGTGGCCTAAACCTCAGACTTTCGGGCCTAGTTTCAGTTTTGGAATTCGGGTTGAAAGGGCAAGGCTGAAATCTAAAACCTTAGTCGAAACCTTTATATAGGGCTGAAACTCTTAAAAGTTCCAAATGTTAACCACACTAATGGAATTGGATTGGATTTTCCGATTTAGTTAGTAAAAAATCAATTATCAATGACGGATGAATGTGTTTACGTTAGTGTTTCCGATCATTAATCCCCTTTTCGAATAATCAAATATCCAAAAAAGAATTGTGAATATTCGAAATACATCAGATGATTTTCGGTAATGGGTGGAATTTCGTATAACCATAAGTATTTCAAATAGTAATAGTAATAGTTATAGTTATAAGTGTTTCGAATAATTATAAGTGTTTCGAATAGTCATAAGTATTTCGAATAACCATAAGTATTTCAAATAGTCGTAAGTATTTCAAAATAGTCATAAATATTTCAAATCTTCGAATAGTCCTTGATATTTTGAATAACCATAAGTATTTCGAATAGTCATAAATATTAGTTGCCATTTGTCAAGAAAGATTTCAAATTGAAAAATATTCTAAACAGATATAATATAATAAGTGTTAGTATTTCGAATGGTCGTAAGTATTCCAAATAACCATAAATATTTCACCCCCCTGTCAAAAGTAACCGGTGCTTTTTTTTTGTCCTATAAAATATCCTACATAATAATAAAATGTTCAAACACTCCATAAAAAATAAGAATTTAAAATATTACGAACAAAATAAAAAAAAGATGATTAAAATCCGTTAGAAATTGATAGAGTTGCATGTATTGAGAAAATTTTTGGAAATCATCGCATGCTTTTCGCCCTTTCATGATCCATAGCACCACGTTCAAAATCTGTAAGTTCCCGTCCTTTTGTCATTTCAATAAATTCAAAACAATAATTTTTATTGTTTTTAAAAAAAACTCAAGGTTTTGTCATTATTCGTAAATTTTCTCAATACATGCAACTCTATCAGTTTCTAACGAATTTTAATAATCTTTTTTTTATTTTGTTCGTTATACTTTAAATTCTTTTGTGGAAATTTTGAACATTTTGTTATTATGTGGGATATTTTATAGGACAAAAAAGATACTTTTGGCAGGTGGGTGTAGTAGTAGTAGTAGTAGTACAAATTTGAATTATTCGTTTTATTCGAATTACTTTATTCATTTTATTCTAATCATTTCGTTTTGTCGTTTTACTCACTTTATTCGAATAAACTTTTAATGTAATCCGAATACTTTCGAATAAACCTTACTCAAATAAAAACCCTAATACAAGTTCTATATTAAAAAAGGTTTCGGCAAGGAATTTTAAATTCGATAGGAGTTTCAGACTTTCGCATCTGGCTAATCCTTGAGAGATTTCGGGCACATATATAGATAGTTTCAACTATAATATCGAAACTATTAGTTGAAGAATCAGAAGTTGTGGCAGTGATTGGTTCGATGTTGAAGATTCCTGTTTTTTTTCAATATGTTAAAATTTGCATTCAAATAACCATTTAATTATAAAGTCAAAAAAAGTACCACTTAGAAAAATAGTACTGCACATACTAATCAACGCCACTTCAAGCTTTGCAAAACAGTGAAATATTTTTTTTTGAGATCAAAATTGGAAATTTCATTGATTTCAGTTATACATAACACCCAAATTTTTTAATGATTTACGTCTTTAATTAACGACGTAATCTTGTTGCGACATTTTATTAATTTAATAAATTTGATTGATATGCAAAACATAAAAAATTTTTAAATCATTTACAATGCACAACTCCCCCGTTTTACCATAAATGACATTCGTTTGGAACGACTTGATGTCGTATGATCTACATCTTTAAGATGCATGGATAAAAAGCCAAAATGTATTTTTAAAATGTCACGTGATTTCTGTCTGATTATTTTAATTGGCAGATCAGAACCCCGGATACTTTCTTTTAAATCTAAAAATTAAATTGATCGATCTACATACCCTATTTTTATTTGTTACACGTAATAAAATTAATATCTCGGCTAAAATTTCAAGTAAAATTTTCAAATAATTTTTCGTTTTCTAAATTTGGATAATAATGATTATGATCAAAATTTTCGGGGGTCAATTTTCCTTTTTTTTCCGTGTAACAAAATTTTGTATTTACACAAAATGAGTTATTTACCTCGGAGGTTCTTTTTGCTAGAGACAGTCCCATATGCACGAATTAATGGTGTTAAATTATCTAATATTCTACGAAGCCACCAACCAGCAACATTTTTACAATACAAGCGTAGCATTCAGCCGTTTCACACCTCCAACAAAATACAGTTTTTATTATCTAACAGATTACAGACAATTCAAAATACTGAACCTTCAAAAGAGAAGTTAAAGGAAATTGTAGAAAATGTAAAATTGTCACATAATATTGCACAATTAGCAAAAGACGAAGCTGCAAATGAAATCAAATCTACAACGGCTATTAAAAAAAAACCATTGATGATAAGGATCAAGGATGAATTAATACATTATTGGGATGGAACAAAACTTTTGGGATTGGAAATAAAAATTTCAACAAAGCTTTTGTATAAATTGCTCAAAGGACATAAATTAACCCGCAGAGAATACAGACAAGTAATTTTAGTGAAAATCTTAAAATTATATAGTTTTTTAATATAATAACAATGACAATTTTTTTTTTAGTTGAGAAGAACTACAACAGATTTATTCAGACTTGTTCCATTTGCAGTCTTCATAATTGTGCCTTTTATGGAATTTTTATTACCAGTAGTATTAAAGTTATTTCCAAATATGTTACCAAGTACATTTGAAGATAAATTTTCAAAGGTATATAATAGATATATATGTGAAGGAATTAATTAATGATTTGATAGAATAAATTTAATTTGGTTTTTTTTAATTAATGCAAAACGTATTATAATTTATACATAGGAAGAAAAAAAAAGAAAATTGCTCAAAGTTCGTTTAGAGATGGCAAAATTTTTACAAGAAACACTTGAAGATACTGGGGCAGTAGGTTCTAAAAAAGCAGAAGCTGCAAAAGAATTTGCAGAATTCTTTCGTAAGGTGATTAAAAAAATTTATAAGACTTTAAAAAAAAAATAACAACAAAAACAACAACTCTCATTCATTATATTTTAAATACCTGATTAACTAATCGTAATTAAAAAAATTTCAAGGTTCGAACAACTGGAGAGCAAGCCAATACAGAAGATTTACTTCGTATTGCTAACCTTTTTGAAGATGAATTGACTTTAGACAATTTATCTAGGCCTCAATTGGTCAGCATGTGTCGTTATATGAACATCAATGCTTTTGGCACTGACAATTTTTTGAGATTTCAAATCAGGGCTAGAATGAAAAGTATTGAGGAAGATGATGCGGTAAAATTTTTTGATATATTTATTATATACTTTTATTTATTTATCTAAAATTTATATATAAATTTTAGATGATAATGTCAGAAGGTGTTGATTCTTTAACTATCCCGGAACTTCAACATGCTTGCCAATCACGTGGTATTCGAACAATTGGAGTTTCACCGGCTCGTTTACGTAGTGAACTTAATCAGTGGTTGGATCTTCATTTAAACCATAAAATTCCATCTACGCTTTTAATTTTATCAAGAGCTTTTAGTTTTCCTGATCGAGCAGAATTGGCTGATCAGGCTGAAGCACTACAAGCAACTTTGAATAGTTTGCCCGAAAATTTGGTAAAGATAAATTGATAGAGTAACCTTTTTTTTTCCCTCAATTTTGCAATTCTAAAAAAATGGCTATTTTGATAATAGGTAAATGAGGTAAATGAACAAGTTTCAGAGGCAGATGGTGGAGTAACCTACAAACAGAAACTTGAGGTTATAGAGGAACAAGAGGAGTTAATAGCCGAAGAAAAGGCTCAAAAGGAGGTGTGTACACATCTTTTTAAAAACGTAATTTGAATTCGAAATTTTGAATAATAACTAATTGTAAAGTAAATAAATGTGGGATTTTAAGAAAGAAGAGGCTGAAAGGAAAGCTCAAAAAGAAGCACAAGAAGCGGCCAAAGCTGGAGGTGTACAAGTCAGTAAAAGAATTTCTAAAAAAAAATTGAATACCGTTGTTGTTTATTTAACTAGTTTAACTAATTAGGTTATTAAAGAGGAAGATGATGCTCGTATGACTGAACTACAACTTCAGGAACTTCGTGCGGCACTTTCAATTTTATCATCAAAATCAGCAGTTTTAGAGGAAAGAGAAGCGTTGAATGAAATAAAGGAAGATAGAGAGGAATATAAAGAAGTAAAAAAATTATTTGATATGATTATTGTTATTAGGTGAAGAATGATAATAAATATGGAATTTTAATTTTAGGATATTGAAGAATTAAAAGAAACAGGTAAAGAAGAGTCCAAAGCATCACATCGTCTTAGTGAGCGTTTAGAAAAGATGATACAAAAAATAGATAAAGAGTTGGAACAATATGACAGTGAAGTTGGCTCAAAATTAAATCTTATTCAAGCCAATGAAAGTGGGCAAATTTCAGTCAAAGATTTAGAGGAAGCACTTAGAATTATCAAACACACACCGGGTGACAATGAAAAAATTCAAAAGATTGTTAAAAAATTAGACGTGGACGCTGATGGATTGGTCTTTTTAGATCACATTTCTGAATTATGTGTTGAAGGTGAAGGTTTGGGTGTTTTGGTGGAATCAGAAGAAAAAGATGGTAAAGGAAAAAAGGTCAAGAAACCTAAAAAAGAGGATATAGTGCAAAGTTAATGAATGTTATTTATTATTTATATAGCTAGTAATTGATAATAAATAGATCTTTTAAATCTGAATTTTCTGAACTATTTTTTAAAAGATTCAATGATCAGTTGTCTTGATCAATTTTTATTTTTATTTTTATCACTATCACTATTATTATATTTATTAATAGCGCTGGGATGTTTCGATATTACAGAAAAAATCCCGTGCCTGCTAACTTTCTATACGCTGATGAAATTTAAAAAGATTGCTCGAACTATAGAAAACATTAAACTTTATATGAATATTTGTCTGCTACATGTTATAAATCTAATGGTTGTTATTTTTATTATGTATTTACGTAATTAAAAAAAAAGCATTCCTTTCTTTGTCTAGTCAAACCGGCAGTTTATAAACTGAATCCTAACTTAAATACATTAATATTAATGATATTTCTAAATTTTCTAATGCTTTTCTATATTTCGGTATAGAATCATTTGGATTTGGACTGATAATCTGCCATTCCAATATTGTTAATATATTATTATTATCATCATTAACAATTTTTTATACAATAAAATAAACGGCTCTCTTTCCACAATTCCAATCCTTAATTTACATGTTTTGCTTGTGTCTTTCATATCAACTTCTTCCTCCTCTTTTTGTTAGCCGTTATTCTATTTTTACAATGACATTTTTTTAATAATATATTAGATGCTTCCATTTATTGGATGAATAAAAGGATTATCAGATCTAAGCCATAGTTCATTGACTGCCTTTAAATCGAGCAGTAAGTTATAAATAAATAAAATTACTTCCGATAATTTTATTTGACAATTCAATCACCCAGTTTTAATATTCTGCATTGTGAAAATTTCGGAAATTTTTTTTCTGAAATGAATAAAATATTTACCGGCAAATTAGAGTCATGATCTACAGGGTATCAGATATAAATAATTATTTTTGTTTTTTTATTTGTGCAACAAAATCTTTATATTTTTCTAGAGGTAATTTTTATTTTTTTTAAAAAAACGAGATTTAATTACATTGTAGTGTTGAAAGATCAGTGTAAAAGAAAGAATTTCGCGTTCAACTATATTTTTTTTGGTTTGCACACAGTCAGTCACTATATATTATACTTAAACGTTAGATAAAACGCGTTATAATTTATTCATTCCATACAATTATTTATTCATTCCATACAATAATTCATTCATTATTTAATAATTTTAATAATTTTATTTGATTAATTTAATTAATATAATTTATTTATTTATATATATACTTTTATGTTTACGTGTATTCTCAAAGATTTAATACTCAAAACTTTAAAGTTACATTCAAAATCTTATCATGAAACGTAGTAACAATAACGGTAATCAAAGTTACAATAATATTAAAAAAGCAAGGCATAATCCAAATAATAGTGGCGACAATGTTCCTTTAGCAGGAGGTAATGAAAATTAAAGATTTTTCACTGATTGTTTTTAATTTACATAAATATTTTTATCAAACACTTACTAATTCTTACTAATTGCTGATTATTATTATAAAGCTACGCCAAGATTAAACCAGCCCATAAATCAATTTTCAAAAGCGGATGATGCTAATATCAACATTACTAAAAATCTTATTGGTCGAACTGTATGTCTTAGAAATTTACCATCAGATGCAGAAGCTCATAAACTTATAAATCAAATCAAAGTTGGTCCATTAGAGTCCGTCAGATTCCGTCCCGAGAATTCTTATGCTTTAATTTCCTTTATGAGTGCCGATCTTGCAAAAACATTCTATGATGAAGTTATGACCAAACTATTTTTTTATGAAGGTCAAGAACTTAGAGCTAGTTGGGGTGAACCATCAGCTATACCTGAAAGGGTTCAATTAGCTATGAATGAAAAACAAGTTTCACGTAATGTTTTCCTAAAGAATTTGGATGGTTCATTCACTGAAGAGACTTTATATAGAGATTTGGCTGAATATGGTACTATTGATACTGTGGAGGTTGTCAAAAAAGGAAAGATTGGATATGTTCATTTCTTGAATATTTCAAATGCTGTTAAAGCGGTTACATTGCTACCATCAAACCCTGCATATGAAAGGGTTAAAATTGGTTATGCTAAAGACAGATGTGCAAGATATATGAAAACCCCTCCTTCAAGAAGATCAATCACTTTTCAAGGCTTTGGAAATGCTGCTGCATTAGAATATAACATGGAAACTCGTAATTCTTATCCTAATGCTACAACAACTCATAATTCTTATCTTAATGCTACAACAACTCATAATTCTTATCTTAATGGTACAACAACTCATAATTCTTATCTTAATGGTACAACAACTCATAATTCTTATCTTAATGCTATGTCAGCTCATAATCCTTATCTTAATACTACGTCATCTCATAATCCTTATCTTAATGCTACACCGGCTCGCAATCCTTATCTTAATGCTATGTCATCTGCATGTACTTTATTTCGCAAAGTAGATGATCCTAACAAAAATCAGGACACCTTAATTGTTGAAAATATTGCAGGGGCCATTAAAAATGTTGGAAACCGAACTATTTATCTTGGAAATCTTCATCCTGAGACCACATGTGAAGATCTTTGTAATGTTATTCGTGGTGGTATTCTTCAACATATTCGATTTATCCCAGGAAGACATGTTGCATTTGTTACTTTCATTGATCCAAATAGTGCATCGAATTTTATGGTTTTGGCACGAAAAGTAGGTGTGGTGGTCAAAAATAGAAGACTTAAAGTTGGTTGGGGGGCAAATCCAGGGCCATTGCCTAGATATGTAAAACGTGTAGTGAATACCAGACGTGCTTCTCGTAATATTTATATTGGAAAACTTGACGAACAAGTGACTGAGGAAAAACTGCGCAAAGACTTTGAAGAGTATGGCAAAACAGAATTTATCAATCTTGTCAAAGAATCATCATGTGGATTTGTCAACTTTATGTCTATTACTTCTGCAATTAATGCAATGGAACATATTCCAAGAAGAGATGATTACAAAAATTGTTATATTAATTATGGAAAAGATCGGTGTGGTAATGCACCAAAAAATGATTTAGAATTAGAATAATTTGTAAATTTTATTATTGTTTAAAATAAAAAATTAATAAAATAAAATTTTTTTTTTAATATAAAACTTTTTGAAATCTTGCCAATTTTTTTCTTATTTGTGAAAGCCTTTTAAAACTTGCTAACCAACTGTTGTTCCAAATTTTTGTTTTTGCGTGGATTAGAATGAATAGGGGATCAACGAATTGATTTTGGTATTAGCGAATAATTTTGGTTAAAGAAGATAAAAGTTTATTTAAATAAAATATTACTATTTTATTTATTTAGTTTTCTTAGTCGAAACTAATTAACTTATGAGAAAGTTACTTTACAAGTACATTGAATTCAAGCTCCTTATATACAATTCAATTAATTAGTAATTCTAATATTTCAAAATTGAAATATTGGAAAGACGATTCTTAATAAATTACGACGTTAGAAATAAAAATATAACGTATTACGAAAAAAGATGTAAATTAATAAAATAAAATAAGAATTTCGGAATTAGTTAAATTCGGCCAAAAGAGCGTCCAAATCTAATTCTGGTATTATTATATTTTATATTTAAATATTAATATAAATATTAATATAAATATTAATATAAATATAAAAAATTAATATTATCAAAACAGACTTTGTTCATTGGCTTTATTAAACTGAATTTTTTGGTAAGCACAAGAACAAAATCAAAAGGAAAACATTGCAGTGAACAATTTTTGCTTCAAATGATTGAACAAGATTCTCAAAATTTGGCCAATGAAATAACTTGTTTTTATTGGAATGTTCAAATAATATAAGGACCAATTTTTGCTAGAAAATCTCCACATTAATATGTTGTCAAAATTAAAAATCACGTAATTCTCTCTATATAAATAATTCTGAGCATCCTTTAAGGTCTTCACCTCATATCAAAAATAGAGTTGAGTAGTATGAACATATTTTTTCTTGCTCAAATTAAGATGTGTCTTGCTTTGAAAATTAATAGAGTGAATATTTATTATAATCAAAAACAAAACAAAAATAATATTAAATATAAGATAAATATAACAAACAAATTAAAATATTCATTCTCCTCTCACTTCCACATTCCCTCATTGACTCTTGAGATCTAAATTTAACTGTAACAATGTCATTCTAGGTCTGGTTAGTGGTAATGTGGCACAAGGGGCAACTTTGAATACTATATTATTAAAAGCCATCAAGTATTATTGGCTTATCAAAAATGGTATCTGCCCATCAGGGGTGATCATTTTTAAAAAATAATTGCACCAAATGATTTATTTAGAAGTCAGGGAATAATTTGTTGCAGCCAGATTTTTTGTTTTAACTTACTAGCAAATGTTATAAGGGTTTAAAACCTCACTATTTTTGTAACATTTCATATATAATTTCAAAATTTGCCATCTGTTATAGTATTGTAAAATAAAATTAATTAATTTCTCTTTATTTCATTGGTCGAAAATAATTTCACGTAATATAACTTATTTGTATCACAATAATTGTCTTAAATTCTATTGGCTAAAACACAGTCTGCTTGTATCACAATGATTTTCTTGAAAATTTATTGGCTAAAATTTGTGCATGTGATAAATTTTAAAAACTTAAAATTTGCCACTCCTCTTGTATCACTTGATGGCTTTTACTGTCATCACTGTAGTACTAATACTATCAGTGCTAGCATTATTACCATCACATTGTTGTTGAGAGTCAAAACTTGATTTTTTCCCTTAGATTCATATGAAAGCTAATTATAATAAAGTTTAGACAAAAACCTAAACTTAGAAATAAATATTTTTGAACATTCATGTAAATTTCCAGTAACAAAGGAAATTTTCTATGGTTTTAAATAGACAGAATCAATTTTATCTTGTTGTGAAATTTAGGGATGTTAATTGATTATACAAAAATTGATTTTTCCACAATTGATTAAAAGTGATCAACAAAATTTTATAATTGATTGTAAATCAATTATCAATTTAATCAAAAAAATTGAAAAAAAATCAAGTGTTAAATAAATTAACAGTAGTAATGATAATAACAATAATAATTGCAATAGTAATAATGATAATAGTATAGTAATATTTGAAGCAATTTTAATTTTAGAAGTCTGGTTTTAAAAATTAAGTGCCACAACCTAACAAACAAATTCATACATAATATACAAATTAATATACATTTTTCATCCTAAACATTATAAGCATAATAATAGCAGCACTAATAATAATAATAGTAGTATATTAATATTTGAAACAATTTTAATTTAGAAGTCTCAACTAGAGAAATAGCCAAATTAGACAGAGATGA